GGATATAGCTCGCTAGCAGCCTCGCACCGAGAACCTATCAACGTCATCATTTACCCAGAAGGCTTTGCATGTAAATCAAATGGCCCCATCTGTGTTAAAATATATTTTTAAACTTTTAGTTTAAAAATGATAAAAACAGTCTTTAGTTTACAGTTAAAATATATGTTTATCAAAAAGTCTAACGTTACAACTAATCACGGATCCCTTTAACTCGCTCTCGTTTTTTGTTTCTCCTCAGGAATCAGGAGCGACACCAGGACAGCCGCCAGGAGCTAAATTCTCCCACATCCTGCAGAAAGATGCTTTCCTCGTCTTTCGCTCGCTCTGCAAGCTGTCGATGAAGCCGCTTTCAGACGGACCGCCCGATCCCAAGTAAGATGCCTGTTGTTGAGGCAGAAACTTTTTTTAAAGAGGCTAGCCGCATTAAAGACTTTGATTGGACTCAAAACAAAGAGAGAAGAAAGTTTTTTAAATCAGAATATTTTCTATTTAATTGTACATATTTTTACAGCTGAAGTTGCTGCTTAGAAAGTGTGTTAGATAGACCCTTAACAAACCTAATTTTATCTGMGATGCTTCCTTGTTTTTATTTAATTTTTAAAGAGCTTTGTCTTCATAGTTTTTAACTTACCTTGGAAATTCCATTTAAAACATCCGCTCATCTGAGATCTGAATTAGGGTTTAAAATGAGGATYGTTTTTAACGATTGTAGCTTTATTTTTCATGTTTTGTGATGTAGGAAACAACGAGGCATCACTCATTGTCTGAATCATTTCCTTATTTTATGAGATGCACAAACTTTTTTTTAACCCTTCCTCCTTTAAATAAAAAAGGCAGTACAAATGTAGAACGGCTGCTTTTGTCATTTCCTCGCTTTGCTCAGAGGAAATCTGTTTCACCAGCTCGTACTGATGGCTGCGCCTTCTGTGAAACTGGATTTATTGCCTGTTGTTTCTGTGTAAAACCCAGTTCTGCACCGTGACTTTTGAGATGTTTCTCCAAATTGTACTAGTCTACTTTTTTTTTGTCAGTTTGTCTGAGAAATGCAATCCAGACTGTTAAAATGCTTTCAAAATCATTGTTTGAAATTCCTGAGGTGTGTGTACATGTTTTTGCTACCCGGTGGGAACTATTTTTGATGATTTTCCTGGTACACACAGCCTGGTGAGGACCCAGTTGTCCTTATGGGGACAAAAACCTGGTCCCCATTGGGGGAAATACCATTGGTGGGTCAGGGGTTCGGTTTAGAAATAAGGTGTGAATTGAGTTCAGGCTAGATTCAGGGTCAGGTATGTACCTGTAAGGTTAGGTTTAGGGTAAAGGGTCAGGGTTAGGCTATAGAAATGACTGGTAAATATATGGAAGTCAATGCAAAGTCCCCATGAGGATAGAAAAACAAATGTCTTCCATCTATCTAGGTTTAGAGGTATGATGTGAATTAAGTTTTGTTTAAGGTTAGGGTCAGGAATAGACCAGCAATGGATAGGGTTATGGGTGGCTGTGGCAGAGTAGTTAGGGGAGTCGTCCTGTAACCCGTGGGTTGCTGGTTCAATCCCCCATTCCAGCTGTCTCAGTTGTTGTGCAAGACACTTCACCCGCCTTCCCTACTGATGGTGGTCAGAGGTCCATTGGCGCCGGTGCATGGCAGCCCCACCTCCGTCASTATGCCCYAGGACAGCTGTGGCTACATTGTAGCTTACCCCCATCAGTGTGTGAATGTGTRTGTGAATGAKTGAARTGTAGAGCTTGTTGGAGTCTGGAGGAATAGGCATAAATGCAGTTAGAAAAATAAATGGAAGTCAATACAAAGTCCTCATTGATGGAAGTACAAGGATGTGTTTGTGTGTGTTCCTGTGTGTCTATCTTTGTGAAAACGTATTTTGACAGTCTAGTATCCTTGTAAGGACATTTGGCGATGTCCTCACAAGGGACCACCCCATTTGTGTATCAGGGGTTTGCTTTAGGGCTAAGGTTTGAATTAGGTTTAGGGTTAGGCTGTAGAAATGACCAGTAAATGAATGGAAGTCGATGGAAGTCCTCACAAGGACTGCAAGACAAACGTGTGTGCGTTCATGTGTGTGTGTGTGTTTTGTTCCTGAAGGCCACGTCAATTACACCAGCAATGTCTGTGTCAGACAGAAACCTTTTGCTCTCCTAACAAGGCTGTTCTGCCTGATGTATCACTCTGTCACACACACACACACACACACACACACACACAGACACAGAACAGCATCAAGTAAAAGCAGAAACATCAAGTAAATATTAAGGCCTAGTTCTTGAAGGAATGCATATCACAGTGATCATAAAGTTTCATTATTTCTGTGCCTCTTAAGTCATACTGAGTCTTCTCAGATATCAAGAGCAAACAAAGTTACTGCAAAGCTAAACTCTGCATATAAAGTAGCTGAACATATAATCTTTCTGAACATCTGATTTAGTTTTTTCTGCCCCTCTGCTGCAGACAAACAGCCCAGACAAGCTGCGGCTGTGCAGCAGAGGCACTTTGATTAAAGTTGCCTGGGCTTTGCTTTGAAAACTGCTGCAGAGTTTTAACTCTCTGCTGCAGAGACTCCGCTTCACTCAGCCWCACACTTTGTGACTTAACCTGCTCAAAGCAACGATTGTTTGTATCATAGGTACAGCTGCACTCATGATCGTGAATGAAACTTCTTTTGTTCGTAGTTGCCAACATTTCGACTCTCAGCAGAGCCGCTTCTTCTGATTTTACACAAAGCATACCAACACGTACGCGTCTGCCTGCCTCAGGTCCCACGAGCTGCGATCGAAGGTTCTGTCCCTTCAGCTCTTGCTGTCGATCCTGCAGAACGCCGGCCCCATCTTCAAAACCAACGAGATGTTCATCAACGCCATCAAGCAGTACCTGTGCGTGGCTCTGTCCAAGAACGGCGTCTCCTCCGTGCCCGAGGTCTTCGAGCTGTCGCTCTCCATCTTCCTCACGCTGCTCTCCCACTTCAAGACGCACCTGAAGATGCAAATCGAGGTGAGATGAGTCCTTTGCTTCAGCCGCTGGAAGGGTAAAAACATGGCTGCAGTAGTTTATATATATATATATAAATGTTTATTCTTGTTTGCATCATCACATGATTTCTTCCTGCAGGTGTTCTTCAAAGAGATTTTCCTGTATATTCTTGAAACGTCGACAAGCTCCTACGACCACAAGTGGATGGTCATACAGACCCTCACCAGGATCTGCGCAGGTTGTTGCTCTGATTTTAGAAGTTGTTGCGACTTTGCATGCGAGGTTTTTCAAAACGCTTTCAAGAAATGTGGTCATTTGCTTCTACGTGTCTGATTCAGTAAAAGGACTCGTCTTTCTCTGTCTCTTTCAGATGCCCAGAGCGTGGTGGACATCTACGTGAACTACGATTGTGACTTGAATGCTGCTAACATTTTTGAACGCTTGGTCAATGACCTCTCGAAAATTGCACAGGGCCGAGGAGGCCACGAGCTCGGCACGACGCCTCAACAGGTGAGTTGTGTTTAAGTTTCCCATCAGCAACGCTTCATGTTGTCCGGTTGTTTGTACCAGAAATCCTCCAATCATTTCCTTACAGGAGTTGACTTTGAGAAAGAAAGGCCTCGAATGTTTGGTGTCCATCCTGAAGTGTATGGTGGAGTGGAGCAAAGACCAGTACGTCAACCCGAACTCCCAGACCAGCCTCGGTGAGTCAGCGTGGAACCGTGAACACAAACTGTTACAAAATAAAAATCTACACTCATCGCAGATGTTACCTTCACACACTGAGTGGCCATGGACTTTGGATAATCAGCAAAAAAAAAAAGTGTTTTATCTGCAGAGTGGTGCCCGGCTGACATGTTCTGCCAGCTGGGCAGAGTCCAGATGCTGATCCAGAACTCAGAGCTGGGGCTGTTTCGGATCCTCCCGGGAGGCTGGAGGAGACCTGCTGCTCTGCAGCTACAGCGACCAATAAGAGATTAGATGTTTTCTTCTGGGAAAAGGATGGATTGGTGGGCGAACGAATTAATTCCTGGAGCAGATTTGAAGAAAGTTTGGATACAGCTGGTCACTGTCACTGTGCGCAGTTTATGGGTTTTTCTTTGTCATATGTGGTTTGGATAAATTTTACTCCTCAGACTAAGATGATAAATGCTGTAATTGTTCACATTTAACGCTTTGGCTTTTCATTAGTAGTTGATGAATAATGAAGATAAAAACAGACTTTCTTGTAAACTGTCTCAGTCTTGGTTTCTCTCTGAGATTAACTGCTGTTTGTGATAAAGCTCATACCCATCAGCACGGTGGCAGTCATTTAGGATTGACAGTTTATTGAGGAAGCTGCAGCTCCGAGTAGGGGGAAAAAAAGCATTTCTTCGGCTCAGTTCCAGCCAGAGGAAGCAGTGAAGTAATGCTTGAGTGCATAAAGGCTAATCCAGGAGGTTCAGACCCCACCCCCCTTAAAAAAGTGACACCTTACACTGAGCAGTGATGAAACACCAATCTGTGACATGTGGAGCACATCCTTTGTGCGAGACCAGCCCCCGGGTCTTATGCACAGCGCAGGATTTCTGTGAGCTGAAGGAGGAGCTCAAACTGGGATGAAGTGCAACTTTGTGAAAGGACTGGAAGGATATCCCATAAGCCCCTGGAACAATCCACAGGCCAGCCTCAGGCTAAGCTGTCAGAGTTACCCAGCAGAGGCAGCTCTTTTGGCTGTCGAGGACACGATTCTGCCAAAACTCATAACAGCTCATTAGTATCCAGGCAGCAGCTCGTATGTGAAATTAGAATCTTAAATTTACCCCGCAGCCTGTCGGGGATTCTCTTTAAAACAGTGGAGTTTGCTAAAGTATGCTGGTAAACATTAAATCCAAGTAGCGCATTCGTTTATTGAACTCTAATGTATTGGATCCATGTCTTCATTATTTACTTGTTTCCATTTTCTCCTTTCTCTAAATGACTTCAAAGCACGAGCAGGTAATAAATCCCAGGGCGGTATGGAGTGTTTTGGTAGAAATTGTTTGCAAATGTGTGGAACGTGCTCATTTTTAAGCCTACTGTGCCTTTAGTTAGTTTTGTTCTTGTGGTGCAATAGACAACTCATGTTTGTGGGTTTGTGTTACACTCTTACAATGTTGAACTATAACCCATAGAGTAGAATAACACTAGAGTGAGCCCCGCCTATCCCRTCCACTGTTAGCATCTGAGACAACATGGGCTGTGTCAAAATTCAGGGGCTGGGTCCTAAAGGCCCCGGCCCAATACATAATTTATAAATAACAATAATATAAACCAAACCTGAACTCAGTCAATAACTTCAACTAGTAATACAATATATTTATTATTTCTTACCTGTCATAAATAATAATAAATATTTACCAGTCGACACTTGGAAAATGTTCACTGCATACTGATACATTAGCATGAAACTTGTCTATTGATACTGGCTAACTAACTATCTTATCAACAGGTCAAGTTTGTCTAATAGAAAAACTTTAAAATTGTCAAATTTATAATATTATTTGACCCTGTATAAATATTACATAAATCAGAGGCAAAACTAGCTTTATTGAATAATTTAGGCTAAATTGTAGAATGATTAAGCACAGTGCTATTCTCTATATAGCAATAAGCTAAAGAAGCTAATACCTGCTAGCCAKTTCAATTATTACCAGTGATTACATCAACTTTATAAGCTTATTTTAATTTTAAATTGTTAAATTATTAGCTTCAGTTCTGGTCGGATCATATGCAGTCTGAGGTAAATAAGATAAAATCTGCTTAGTTTGAAATGAGTCACGTTTTCCTGTTTCTCTTCTGTTGGTTCTGACACCTTTATGGACATTAGATAGCTTATTTGCACTCTAATATATTGATAATTTTGTTAATATTAGTTTCCATGATTTCTACATGATCAGTCCTTTTTTTTTTTAGCTATGTTGCCAATATGTACAGTAATGGTAAATCCACATTGTAGCGTCTACAGTAGACTACACGATCACGTGGTCAAGACTCACTCCTGCTATTCTATAGAACCTCCCTGCTCTAACCAGAACCATGCCTGGGCTCACCTTAACTCATTAGAACCTCGGCGCCTCTTCCATCAATAGTAGCGACATTTAGTTTGCCTTATTAATTCATGAAACTGCTGCTTCCAGTTCATTTTGCTGTCGATAATCAGCGTTTCTTCACCTTTTCCACTCAGCTGTGCACAGCTCACATACCGTTGAGGCTGTCCTGAATGTTTTAAAGGGTTTCCGATGAGTAATCAGACGCCACAGTTCCACACAGCGTGGGTTACGAGGTGGACTCGCTCCAGTAACAGCAGTAGATTCTTGACTTCCTCACTCACGGCTTAATATACTATTTCTCTTGACATTTAAGGTCTTTTTTTACCCTTTTGACTGCCTGGAGTGTTTTAGATAACCCTCCCATTTTAATATCCTCCTTTTTCTTCCTGCATTGAACTTGTTCTATGTGTGTAGCTGTGTGTGTATTATTACCATTCCTGCCCACTGCTATCATTAGAAAGCCTTCAAGGTCATATTTTATGCTTTTTCTATTTTCGAAATTAAASYTCTGCCCTTCATTCTGATTGTTTTATTTTAACCTCCAAGCTATGTTTATGTCAGTCTCTAATATTTTCACCTTTTATGGTGGTTTTATACATCAACACTCAGTTTTTTTGTCATTCGTGCACCGTCTTTTCTTAGCTGTACTTTTCTTGTTGGTTCTCAGGCCAGGAGAAACCTTCGGAACAGGAGAGCACAGAGTCCAAGGCCTCAGAGACCATWAATCGCTATGGGAGCATCAACTCTTTGGACTCCACCGCCTCGTCTGGGATCGGCAGCTACAGCACCCAGATGTCRGGAACCGACAACCCCGAGCAGTTCGAAGTCCTCAAGCAGCAGAAGGAGATCATCGAACAGGGGATTGACCTGTGAGCGCACAAAAATCCATCATTTTTTCCCAATGAACAAAGATATAAGATATGACRAGATGCTAGCTTGAGTGATTTGTACGCAGGTTTAACAAGAAACCAAAGAGAGGAATCCAGTACCTTCAAGAGCAAGGCATGCTGGGAACCACCCCAGAGGACCTTGCTCARTTTTTGCACCAAGAAGAGAGGCTTGACTCGGTAACAACCATTTTTTAATTTTTTTATTTATTTATTTTTTGTTTAAACTGATTCCGGTGCCTCATAAATCACTGATTACTCTTACAATCAGCCATGTTAATATCAAAAACGCTTTACTTTTAAAAACTTTCCGTACAAAACACAGAAAAAACCGTGAAGAAAATATTGAAATCCACAAACAAATCTTTAGATCGATGAAAAAAATAGCTGATTTTGGATTAGAGTCGATGTAAGGATGGCACAGACAGTTTTGTTGCATGAGAGTGGAAAACTAGAAGAATTTATAAGATTTTGTTGGGAAAACATTGATATTCTGCACATGCCCAAGGATTTTAGACAGATGCTCAACAAAAAGAGACAAACACACAGCCAGTCCATCAGAAGCCATTCTGTACCCGCCTGTTATTCAGCCAAACTCCACACAATAATTCACAGTTTGTCCACGAAGCACTGAACGCCCATCCAGCCGCTCCTCTGCTCTTTCAGACTCAGGTGGGAGAGTTTCTCGGAGATAACGATCGCTTCAACAAAGAGGTGATGTACGCCTACGTGGATCAGATGGACTTCCAGGGCAAAGATTTCGTTTCTGCTCTAAGGATGTTCCTGGAGGGCTTCCGGCTCCCCGGCGAGGCGCAGAAGATCGACCGGCTCATGGAGAAATTCGCAGCGAGATACTTGGAATGCAACCAGGGGTGAGTCTAAATATATATCTATTTTTCCTGAGTGAACAAATACACTCTGTGTCCCTTCTCCTTACCCTCGTTGTCCTTCCTTTTTAACTTTTACAGGCAAACRCTCTTTGCCAGCGCTGACACTGCATATGTTCTTGCCTACTCCATCATTATGTTGACGACAGACCTTCACAGTCCACAGGTAAGTTGACAGTAATAAAGCAGTTTTAGTGTTTTGAYAGCAGCTGTTCTTATTTATCGGTAGAACATTCATCACAGGGGTTGCACAGACAGCTGTTGACTTGTCTTGTTGTTAATCGCAAAGGTGAAAAATAAAATGACTAAAGAGCAATATATCAAGATGAACCGCGGCATCAATGACAGCAAAGACCTGCCCGAGGAGTATCTGTCGGCCATTTATGATGAGATCGCGGGGAAGAAGATCGCCATGAAGGAGACAAAAGAACTGACCATGAAGTCCAACAAGCAGAGTGAGTCTCAAAGATGGAACATGGGCGTCGTTGTCCCTGCTGGAGAGCTTTAGGTGGATTTGTTTGTTTTTAATTGCTGCGCAGGCGTAGCCAGCGAGAAGCAGAGGCGACTGCTGTACAACGTGGAGATGGAGCAGATGGCCAAGACGGCCAAGGCTCTGATGGAGGCCGTCAGCCACGTGCAGGCTCCCTTCACCAGCGCCACGCACCTGGAGCATGTCAGGCCAATGTTCAAGGTAACGCCAGCGCTGCACGCTGCTGGATGCGCGCTCAGAAACACGAAACTCACTGAGTAATCCCTCCTCAGCTGGCGTGGACGCCGTTCCTGGCTGCTTTCAGCGTGGGCCTGCAGGACTGCGATGACACCGACGTGGCCTCGCTGTGCCTGGAAGGAATACGCTGCGCCATCAGGATAGCGTGCATCTTCTCCATACAGGTACTGCAGCCGGAACTGAAGGGTCTCACCGTGTTTTTTTTCTGTCTGCTGTCCGACCCGGATCATCCGATCTTTGTTGTTCGTGTCTCCGAACAGTTGGAGAGGGATGCATACGTGCAGGCTCTGGCGAGGTTCACCCTGCTGACGGCGAGCTCGGGCATCGCAGAAATGAAGCAGAAGAACATCGACACCATCAAGACCCTCATCACTGTGGCTCACACTGACGGCAACTACCTGGGCAACTCCTGGCATGAGGTCTGCTCCGTTTATTTAAAGTCAGTTTCATACTTCCTGTTTCCTGTCTATTGTCTTATCTCCTGTCTGTCTTTACAAACACGTTTTGACAAAACATCTAAAATATTTGACGAGAGATGGATCAACAGATCCTAGGTGTTGTCGTCTTTTATCCGACGTGCTTCTGTTTTCTCACAGCCTGTTTCTCTTGTAGTTTCTGGTCCATTCTGGTTTTCATCATGTGTCGGTTTGAACTTGCCTGCCTCTGCTTCTCAGATCCTGAAGTGCATCAGTCAGTTGGAGCTGGCTCAGCTGATTGGTACGGGGGTGAAGGCGCGCTACATCTCAGGGACGGTGAGGGGCAGAGAGGGCTTTATCACGAGCACGAAGGAGCAGAGCAGCGACGAGTACCTCGGTTTAGGTCAGGGGTCAACACTCAGATGCATCTTGCACCATAAAGTTCAAAACCACACCTTTTTTCCAAAATATAATTTCCTTGAGGTGGACTCACTTTCTCTGTCTTTGCCTCTGCAGTTGGAGGAACGGTGGACCGTAAGCAGATCGCGAGCATTCAGGAGTCCATTGGAGAGACGAGCTCTCAGAGTGTGGTGGTAGCTGTGGACAGGTATCATTGTCCCCCTGAATCGAGAAGAGGGTCTCTTCAGGCACAAAGTGGGAGTTTCTTATGTAGGAGGAGAAAGATGTGATTGGTCCGAATGATGGTTTTGGGTGGGGTTTAAAGAAACGGGGGGGGCTGCTGGGAGGACAAACCAAAGTACTCTGCCAATCATGTTAAAGATGAACTCCGCCCACACCAAAGAACTCCGCCAATCACAGTTAGGACAAACTCCACCCACTCCAAAGAACTCTGGCCAATCACAGTTAGGACAAACTCCACCCACGCCAAAAGAACTCCGCCAGTCATAGTTAGGAAAAACCCCGCCCATACCAAAATACTCCACCAATCGTGTTTAAGATCAACTCTGCCCACACCAAAGAACTCCGCCAATCATAGATAGGACAAACTCAGCCCACACTAAAGAACACTGCCAGTCATAGTCAGGACAAACTCCACCCACACCAAAGAACTCCACCAATCATAATTAGGACAAACTCCACCCACACCAAAGAACTCCACCAATCATAGTTAGGACAAACTCCACCCACACCAAAGAACTCCACAATCATAGTTAGGACAAACTCCACCCACACCAAAGAACTCTGCCAATCATAGTCAGGACAAACTCCGCCCACACCAAAGAACTCTGCCAATCATGGTTAAGACAAACTCTGCCCACATACCAAGAAACTCCCCATATGCACTTAGAGACCCATACTTTCTAGAATATCACTTCCTGCTGTTTAACTTCCATATTTTTACACTTCCAGCTCAATTTCTGTTGCCTTAAATCTGCTCTGCAGCCGATGCAGACAGTATAGCTGAAACTGAAGCAGGAAAAATACTTTTATTTAATCTGTGTTTTTCTGCTTTAGGATATTCACAGGTTCCACCAGACTAGATGGAAATGCAATAGGTGAGTGTGGCTAATCAAAACTAAACAAGGACAGCTTCATTCTAGGTATTTTTGATTACCCTGGCTTCCATTTTGTTCAAAACACCGTTCTTTGCTCATCACAACCATCTTCTGCCCGTTTTTCAGTGGATTTTGTGCGCTGGCTGTGTGCCGTATCCATGGATGAGCTGGCCTCGCCTACACATCCACGTATGTTCAGCCTGCAGAAGATAGTTGAGATCTCTTATTACAACATGGGGCGCATCAGGCTGCAGTGGTCCAGGATCTGGGAGGTCATTGGAGACCACTTTAACAAGGTGGGTGTGGATTGATGCTAAGTCTTTAGAAGCTAAATGGGGGRAAAAAAAGTCAAATTGGATGAAAATCACACCAGAACAGTTGAAACCTCTTGGTGTAACAGATGGTTACGCTATTGGTGGTCTCTTGTTTTTGCAAAAATATTTTTGTCAAGATAAAAGAATGATTCAAAATGAAACAACAAAACAAAATGAAATACTGACCACGGTGTGTTGTAAATATGACAAACTATCTAAAATAATTTGATCGTATTTTACAGACAAGAATGCCAAAAGATTCAGAGTCAGATGTCTGCAAATGGTTCTCAACAACAAAATGCACTAAAACATTTTATTTAGGTTTATTTTCTTATTTCTTTGTATTGAACCTTTTTAATTGGATGATTTAGAATAAAAATTGTGTGACTTTATAAACCTTTTGTTTGTTTTTTGAAAGAAACCGTATAGTTGCTTAAGGCCACTAGACAATTTATGAACATATTAAAGACGTTTGCATTGAAGCTTGAATTGAAAAAATCAACAGGAAGCTTTTTTTCGGCATGTACATAATGTAATTCTAACAAATTGATCAAATATACAACTTTTATTAGCAATTTTAGACATAAATGTTTCATAAATTGTTATAAGTTGTCTAGTGTGACAGGACCTATACAGACATTTTTTGTTTCTTTTAATCAATCAGGGACTAAAAGGTATTTTAAATAAGTGCCTCTTAATACATAAACAAAAACCTAACTTTATACATGTTCATCACTCTCCTACAGGGACTTATTTTGGTTTCTGTAGGTCAAACATTTTGATTTTATTATAGTTGTTTGTTGGTGTTATGGATATAATGTTTTTTTTCACTAAAACCAATCTGTTTGTGACCTTAAAGTTTGCATTTATCATGTGGGAAGGATTGGATGTTTGGATGTTTTGGTGCTAAGTCGTGTTTTTTTGTTTTTTGTTACTATTGATTTTCTTGTTTTTTGTATTTCCAGTTATAAATCAGAAATTGATACCAAGAAAATGTCACTGGAAATGTGGCTGAAAATGTTAAACAAAATAAATACTTATATATTTTTTTAGGTTGGTTGTAATTCCAATGAAGATGTAGCCATTTTCGCCGTGGACTCTCTCAGGCAGCTGTCCATGAAGTTCTTGGAGAAAGGGGAGCTGGCCAACTTCAGGTTCCAGAAGGACTTTCTGAGGCCTTTCGAGCACATCATGAAAAAGAACCGGTACAGAAATAAATACATTCTTTTTTTTTACCACTTGCAGAGCAGCTCTGCATCAACCTCTTACTCTTTTTTTTTTTGCTTTCTTTCTTTCTTTTTTTTTCCTAGCAGTGAATGATTTTTGGTTGTTTTTTTTTTTGTTCCACTCTGAGACCAGCAGCACAGCAACCTTTCAGCTGACCTATTTCAGTCTCTTTGTATTATGATTCCACTGAATTCACAGAATAAACCTCTTTTTTTCATGTTTGGTTTGAATTGGTTAGAATTTGAATAAGTACCTTTTGCAAAACAGCCCTATTTGTTTAATGTTGCCATCTGTGTGCACATGAAGCAGGAGTGTAAATATGAGTACGCCCACAGGCTGAGCAGGCTGAGAGCTGCAGCTGGGAGCCTCGTAAAGCCTGCAGCTCAGCGGGGCCATTAGACCCGCTCAGGCTTCTGAGTGTGTGATGGAGAGKGGAGGCAGAGCTTTTTCTCTCATTCATAACTCCTGAGCAGTCAGGAATGCTCTTCGCCACAAATCAGCCGTGCCGGCGCAAGTCAAAGGGGACGTTATTGAGAGCTTTTAGAGCGAGCTGACATCAGTGAAGAAATGAGTTGTCTTCCTTTAAACTGATCTGACCCTTTCGTTTCTTCAGGTCTCCCACAATCAGGGACATGGTGGTGCGCTGCATCGCCCAGATGGTTAACTCCCAGGCAGCGAACATTCGATCGGGCTGGAAGAACATCTTCTCGGTCTTCCACCTGGCTGCGTCTGACCAGGACGAGAGCATCGTGGAGCTGGCCTTCCAGACCACCGGACATATCGTCAGTGAGTAAAATAAAATAAAATAAAATAAAAAACTTAAAAAAACGTCCACGTTTCCCTGTTTCACTTTGGGCATTTGCTGTTCGAACCAGAGCTCACGGCTTGTTTTGTTATTCTCCCTCTGTTGTCGCCTCGCAGCGAATGTATTTGAAAAGCACTTTGCGGCCACCATYGACTCCTTCCAGGACGCCGTCAAGTGTCTGTCGGAGTTCGCCTGCAACGCCTCTTTTCCAGACACCAGCATGGAAGCCATCCGCCTCATCCGCCACTGCGCCAAATACGTCTCAGAGAGGCCCCAGGTCGGCCTCAGGGCTCTTTTATATACTCCTCCGTGTATTTCCTCACACTCACATCTTAGATTCTCCACTTCTTCCCAACTTATCGTTCCTTCTGCTCACCTGATGACCATGGGGTCAAGAGCCTTCAGCTCCTCGGCCTCCTGTTTTTAGAACCGTCTGCCTCAGGACTTTAGAAATTCAGTTCCAATGACCACCTTCAAATCTTAAAACTCATCTGTTTAGAAARGCATAAACATTACAGCAATATATCTCTGTAACTAAAAATCTCCCATTATCTCACATGACTGCTTGTTGTTTATTGTATTTCTACTATTTTAATGATTGTTTTTATTGAGTTTACTGTTCTACTGTGATTTTATTATTCACCTCAGTTAGGTGATTTTGGGAGTTTTGAAAGGTGCCTGTAAATAAGATTTATTATTATTATTGTTATTATTATTATTATTGT